TGGATTTAATTTTATTAATTATAGGAGCTCAAACAGATGGCAGCATCCATCCATCTTCTGTATTGAAATTAGGATGTTATTTTAATTTCAATAGTCTCGCGAGGATTTGTGGTATATCAAATTTGATGTAATGGCGGGGACGATCTTGAGCGTGTTTACAGACTGCAGACATCCCAGATCGTCGGTGCTTCACGTAAGCTATGTTATGTTCTTCCACGCGGGTTTTAATAGATCTTTTTGATTGTCCTATGTAGAGAGACCACATGCGCAATCAAGCTTGTACGCTCCTGCATCTTGTAGAGAGGGATACTACACTTGACGGATGGTAAAATTGACTAATCTTCTTCGGCAGCTTGAAGTATGTTTTAATGGAAGCTCGCTTCAAGATGTAGGCAACCTTGTCTGTGACTCCTCTAATATAGGGACTACCCTATGTTACAGACAAAGTTTTTGGTGTACTAACAGCAGGCACAGGCTCGACCGTGGCCGGCTTCATCGATCACTGTGACGTAGGCGCGGGACCCGAAGCTTGTTGTTTTGCAATACTTGCTCGACGTGCTGAAGTTCGGCGGCTAGATGTTTTCTGTCACACTGACAGTTGAGAGAGGCACACGGGAGGATAAAATAAACAAATTTCTCAAGAAATCGCCTCTGTGGTTCAGGTTGGAAAACTAAATATAACGTGCAACATGCGTGTGCAACTTTATCAGGTGCCTAAGCAAGTAATCTACTAAAAATTGGAGAGGGTCGACTGGGACGCAGATGATAAATTTAATTTTTACAAGAATTTCGCCATTAAGTGGCGGTAGAAGATATAAAGATATACTTATTGCACATGTTTTCTGTATCCATCATGAAGGTTGGTTATATGAGAGAGCAGTGTTGTCGCCAAAAATAAATCAGTTATAAAAATGTTATGGTGGTAGCCGGTGTGTGAAAGATTTATTATTAGATAGATTCTGTAACGGCTAGTGACGAACCATTCGAGTTCCTCAACTCCTTGGAGATAACGGTATGCATTTGTAAAAACTGGAGCTAAAAGTTAATGTACAAGTTTTGCTGATGCGTAACCTTAATGCACCACGCAAAAAAATCATAGGCAGTTACTTCTGAAATTATAACGTTCGGAAAAAACATTTTTATTGCTACAAACATATTTTCAGAGGTGAAGATCAGCTGTGACTAAAAATCAGTTCCGTAGTTTAACAATAAGGAGCCCTTATAGTTTCGCCGTGTCCGTCAGTCCCTCCGCGGTTTGACTTAAAGACCTTAGGAGCTACAAAACTTTAATTTGGCATAGGTAGTTATAGATATTAATCACGTCTACAAAGTTGTGAACATTTTATTTTGGGTAACTCCCATATACATATGATTTTATTTAATCGTCTTTCCATCGTGTGGGGTGTTGTTTGTTTGGTCTTTTAAAGATATTGGAGGTACTGAACATAATAATAACAATATAATAACAAAGGGAGTTTTGTTGCGTGGCCGCATGGGCATGCAACTTAGAACATTATTTTACGAACAAAATGATACGTTTTATGTGCTACCATCTACATTCCGAAGCGCTAGGCTAGACTTATTTTAATCTCACTAGAGGGCACTTATATACAGCATGGGCCAGAATAAAGTTCACTTTTGAAACCCATATAAAAAAAGACTGATAATACTTAGAGAGATTATTCAAAAAGTAGCTTAATTTAACATTAATTTAATTTACTTCTTGAAAATAACATCGTCTAGGTGTTCCCCGTCTCGCCGCAAACACTCTTCTAAGCGGGACTTTAAATTTTCAAAAACACGCCGGCACGTTGCTGTCGATATGGCCGCCATTTCTTCTCGAATGTTCGCTTTTAAGGCAGTAATTGTCCTCGGTTTATTGGAATAGACCTTATTCTTGAGAAATCCCCACAAAAAGAAATCCGATGGGGACAAGTCTGGGCTTCGTGGTGGCCACTCGATGTTACCTCTCTTTGAGATGACTTTACCGCGGAACAGCTCCTGTACGACCTCCATGCTGGCATTAGACGTGTGGCAGGTGGCCCCATTCTACTGGAACCAGGTCAGGGAGTTGTACTCTTGCAGCCCAGCAAGGCTTGGCCTTAAAAACTTTTGAAGCATTTCCACATAACGGTCTGTATTAACGGTTACTGCGTGACCTCGAGAATTTTCAAAGAAATAAGGTCCAATCAGCCCTTTGGCTGAAATGGCAGCCCAAACCGTCACTTTTTGGCAGTTGAGTGGCTTTTGATGCTTGCGCAAAGGCTGTTCAGTACTGTATTAAGTCTATGCATACGCAATAGTGCACGCGCACTACGCAGTTAGTAGCGGTCACTGGTTACGCTTAAATTGTTATTAATATTTATTGAACATTATTTATTTTTAGAAATTGCCATTTTATCTGTATTTTCAGACAATGAAAATCTGCTAAAATATTGTTAGAATACGAAGGTAAATTTCGCCACAACGCACAAGGTTATAATAGCTCAGGTGGTTAATCGGGCGGTCCCGAAAGCTAAAGACCCCGGATCGCATCCAGCAGATGTGTTTATTTTTTTCCTTTTTTTCAAGTTCCTTCTTTTGTAAGCGCCATCTGTTATGCAAAGCACGACACTAAAGAAAATTTAATTTGAGTCGCGCATCTATCTCTAGTATATATACAGTAATCTATGCGTCGCCGCAAGCGCAGGAGTCTACACGTCTGTTTATTATTTAAAGTTCTGGTGCGTCGTACTACTCTCGTAAGTCATTGCTCGTAACTATGTCGTGCGCTAAAGAAAAAGATGTATTTCTCAATGTCATCGACATCTACAAAGATATCTTTGGAGGAAAGGGCACAAGGACTATTCCAATAAAGAAATAAGAAGTGAAGACTTTAAAGTACTTCTACATAAATCTTAGGAGCAAATATTGTTTCACCCACATTTTCCTTTTCTTCTTTTTTTAGATTGGCCTTGCACGGTACCCACAGCCAAAGTTACCACTAAAGCAATATTTGAATTTCGATAAAGTCGACGCCATAATGCTAGACGTGCAAACATTTTCACGTTCGAGTAACGACTGAGGCAAAGAGTATAGTAATATACTCGTATAAGGAAGGACTGAGGCAGGAAGCGATTTCTAGCGTATGTAAGTGTAATAAGCAACGCCCTGCCTGGTAAGCAAGGCACAAGATAGACAGGGCTCGATAAATTGTGTAATGTATTAGGCCTTACACAATTTTAAAGATAGTATTTTTTCTATATTTCCTTTAAATTCATTGGGTTGACGATCTACTGTTTCCAGTCTGAATGCTGTCATAATCTTGCGGGTATATGACTTTCTGTGCGACACAAGAGCCATATCGATTGGCGGCAATTGTGAACAGTCTAATTGAAACCACCGACGCGAACGCATACACTTATCTTTCGTGTTACTAAAGATCATCTCTCAAGATCTCTTTCACCCTGGAAGGGTTGTGCTTGTGACCTATGACTTCTTGTGCAATACACTCTGCTGAACTTTGATATTACTATTATTACACCGACTGCCCCGAGCTCCTTTAGCCAGCCCCTGGATTCGTAAGTCGCCAAACCCAGTAGAATAGAAACAGAAACTTTTTGATTCAATATAGATTATAAATGATACTTATTGAAAGTCATTCTTTTGTTTAGTTACCACTGGTTGGAAAAAAAACCTTTGTCCTGGAAAGAACCAGCAAGAAACCCAGCGGGACTTCTTTCTTTTAAATAACGCCTTATAATCATGTATGTTACATAATTAACCACACAAAACAAATTAGAAATAGCTTGGTAGCCATCACCTCATTCCCAGGGATTATTATCATAAATAAAGTTGCCGCGCTTATTGGGCGGGTTGGCAATGGCAGTTTTTTTCCTATAATTTGGAAGGCACTTATTGTTGAATGCTACCAATTTTCTGGCCTGTTGGTCTCTGTCGGTTCTTATGACAACCACGGGACGATATGGGGTAGTGGATATTCTTACAACGTCACTACACGGTACCTAGTTATAAATTTATTAAAATATATATTTACTTATCTTTTAATAAATTTATATACGGTATAAAGTTATTAAAAGGAAAGTAAATATTTTGGAGTATTACGCTGAACTGCGATGATGATAATGATGAAAAGGTATGTATTGTGAAGATTAAATCGTAATGCTTTTAGGATAGGTATTTGTGGATGGCACCTGTGCATTGCTAATGGTATCGCTTAGCGTTCGTTTGACATAGACATTCGAATAATTCGCCGGAATTTAAGCTCGGCCTATTGGGAAGATTCTGAGGGAAGACGCTTAAGCTAAAGCTTACACTAGTAAATCAAATACATGATAAAATTTTGAATATTCAGATTGTGCTTTATTTGTGATTTTTTTTTGGTTCAAGTCTTAAAAAAATATCTAAGTCATGGAAGCAAACTTAAGAACCCAAGAAAAAGGTTATGTTATATATAAATCAACCTCAATGTAAAATATGGTCTATATCACTGCTGCTGTTCTTCTGCGGATATTCTCGTTGCGGATTAAATCACGCATGTAGGACTCAGGCTGCCCTCAGTTTAACACGCTGCGCTGTCGCTGTGAAAACACGTCCGTCCATTACCATTTAATTTTCTTTTATGCTTTTGAACTGTTCTGTGTTTATTCCACAAGAAATAATAATAGCATTTAAAAAAATATAAATTTTGATTGTAATGGAACTTACCAAACTCAAAGTTTTATAGCGAAAAATGTATACAAATAAATTGATTGAACTTGGCCCCGCCATATATTTGTAATTTTACTATTTTTAAATAAAATCCCGCTAGATTTTTCGCTTGTTTTCCCAGGACAGAGGTTTTTTCTGAACCAATGGAAAAATGAAATATACTTTCAAAACATATTAAATAATAATAATAATAATAATAATTCTGTTCTATTTTTATATTAAATTTTTACGTTGGCTGAATGCCCTTTGAAAACTTTCTCCGCCATGGGTACGTTTAAAATTAAAGAGAACTCGTTCATATGTTTTAATAAATATAATACACAAATTGTACATATTCGCCACTCAAAAATACACAGGAACGCTTACGTAATTTAAATGCACACAAAAATGTAACATATCGTGATGATATAAGCACAATCTAAAAGTACAAACATAATATATTATACATTAATTAAAATGAATGTAGTTTCCAATATGTAAGATAAGATCGAGTTAATTAGATAAATGTAAAATAATTCTCGCAACCCTTTTTTAAATTGTTATCAGTTGCATAAATTCAAATAATATTCCGAAATAAACATCTAAAATATTTTTTATAGAATAAGGGTGACAAACGAGCACACAGTCCACCTGATGGTAAGTGGTTGCTATGGCCCATAGACAACTACATCTATCCTCGATTACGAATCAAAATGCAGATGCGTTGTCACCCGTTAGGACTAAGATGGAGTGCCTCGTTTCCAGTAAAAAGGGTCTCCGGTTCTCTCAACGTACCATACGAATCACAGCAGCGTTAAGCTGCTATTTTACGCTGGCATTCTGTGAGAGCGTGATCCTTCCCCGGTCGAGCCGACCCATTCGTGCTACAACTACACCTGTAATTTAGCTGCAGCATGGCTCTACCACGTAAAAATATATATAACAATTTGACTTAGTATGAAAAAGCAAAATTTATATATAGTTTAACATATAATATTCACATTTAGTTAGTACAGCTACAACTCTTTAATTTAATAGTTACAATATATACTTTATGTTTTCTACTTATGTAAAATTCTCTTATTAAATTTTTTAACAAGTTTATATTTAAACAATGACTAGATCTTTGTATACAATAACTGTTGTGTTTACATATTTAACATATTTTTATCAAGTAGATTATTACGTACTGTAATTAATTTGCGCAGTGTTCATTATTTTTTTGTGCTGTCAGTCACACGTGCTGATTTACATTTTTCTATATCAATGCAACTTTAAAAATATCTATATCATCAGTTCAGACTACATTGTGTATGGCACAATAACTTGTAGGAGGATAGTAGCCACCCTTGGTAAGGTGTCTTAGTAACCACAGGTTTTATAAATTATTTTCTACTGCTGCTCATGTTCCGTTTTATTTCCCTCTGTCACAATTTATGACACTCACTAGATGACATGATGTAGTGAATATTCTTACACTGCCACTACACAGCCGTTATTAGCTTATTATAAGATATGGATAGTAAAAATATACGTAAAAATGTTACTTATTTAGGGTTAATTAATGAACAAATTCAATTTTATGAAACTAGTTTTACAGATTTAATCACGCCAACGCCTTAACAACTCAGTCCCCCTTCCCGTGACCAGGGGTGTTGTAACGCACTCGAAAATGTTAATGAATCGCGATAAAATCAGTTATACTAGTTTGATTCAAGTATGGTGTTTGAGTTAACATAAGAAATAGCAATTTATTATAAGTAAAATAAAACACGAAATATTAACAAGGAAAAAGCACTACGTACCTAGTATTTTTTGCAAATCTTTTTATTTCAAAATATATCTAATGCTATATATTATATATATTATGCTGATATTTAAGTTTAAATAGTAGTTATGACACATATTGTGTAATTTTTAGATTTTATACATGTCATTTTGCTGTTATCAGTTGATCTCAGTACGCGCGTGATTTCATGCACATTAATTTTGCGCCCTCACACCTTTATTCAATTACTGTTAGTGTTATTTGTGTAATAATAATATACCTACGTAAAATGACTTATTAATTATTGAAATATTGTTGAAATGTTTCGACGATACTTATAAATTAATCTCTTATATTAATCATATGAGACGAGATTGAGAATAAATATATAAAAGGTTTGCTATTAGCTAAAAATACTATTTGTAGAAAGGCTTTTGACTGGCACACTTTTAATATTTTGTTATATAGAAATTCCTAATAGTTCCTAATAGAAATTCCTCATTATGTTTTATCTACAAATTTTTCTTTTTGAATTTTAAATTAATACGTACATCCAGCATTAAATACACGGCGCGGCGGCCGAGTTTATATTCCACTTTTATGTTTAATCAGTTAATGGATTATTTTTAGTTTGCGTAGCAAGCTTCAGTTTTACTTAACGTTTCTTATGTATAATCAAGCTTTCAATAGTTGAAAAAATTATAGGTTGATTCCATTCGTGGCATCTTAAAATAATTCAAGATAGCTATTTAAAAAAATACAGTAATATGTATAATTTTACGAAACCTGGTTGTTAAAACAATTTCCAAAATAGTATTGGTCTGTATTTTCTAATTTAACTTGTTACTTTCTTCCAAACACATTAAATTAGGTAGAGTAAAAAAAATTTTTAATTAAAATATTGTACACAACCGTAACTTATTTTTTGCAAAATAATTTATATTGGATGTTAATTATAGTTAGTTATATTTTAAAAAGGTGACTGTTTCGTCTTAATTTTTTTTCATATATAGAGTTACAGATCTTATTTTAAAGTACATAAAAATTATTAAAATAACATTTTTATGAGTAAGAAACAAGCTTTTCAAATAAATAAATAGAAAACATCAGATATCCGCAAAAAAAAATTATTTAAATTGTTTTGAGAAACCAATTATTGCATTTACGAATGCACGTAGTAAAATGACATGTAGTAAAATTAAAAAAATTTACAACTGACTTCAATATAAATAAAATGAGAACATCATCAACGTAGTCGAACTCAATTAAATACGCATTATTAAGGATTACTCAAAAACTACTGGTCAGATTACCACTACTCGATCAAATTTACCACATGAGAATGGGACCACATGAGATGCACCAGTTTTCATATAAAATAAAGAATCATCAAAATCGGTTCATCTAGAAAGAAGTTCTGAGGTAAAACAAATAAAAAAATACAGTCGAATCGAGAACCGCTTCCTTTTTTGAAGTCGGTTGAAGAGAAAACAAGGCGATATAATATTGAAATTAAATATTTCCATCAGATTTAATAACTTTAACAACCGCCTTAGATGAAGAGTATTGATGTAGTTGCTAGGAGTATAATTGAAGACAACAAGGAAATTAAGATAATAATTTCAAGTTATTCGACCCTTTCAAGTTATAAGACAATTATATTATAAAGAGCTGATCCCTATTTGAATTAAACCTTAATTGCAAGGCTATTTGTAGCAACATGGTGAAAATTTGAATCTTTCGAACTTATTTCGTGTAAAGTCAAATCGTTTAATCAGTATAGAGTCCTTCATAAAGAGAGCGAGGTAGATGCTCAGCCAGTAAGGACTTTAGCTTCTCACGGGGCGATACGGGAGTATAGCGGGCCAGAGGGAATGTGCGGGTCACGCCGTCACTTAGAGCACGAGTAACTGCAGTGAGGTCAGCATCCTGGTGATAAAAATATAATGTTACACACTTTACCTTTTAACGTATGAAAAGAAAGCACAATTATTAACTACTATTTATTGTTTGTAAAAATTAAAATAATATTGTTTCAAATGTGTGGTCCATTAGTCAGAACACCATCACCGGTCCTTAATTTGAATCTAGCCAAAGTTAACTTTTGTCAAGTATAGAAATACTCATTATAATGGAGACCGGTAGGTTAGCACGAATGAGTGCATTAGTGTTTGCATGTACACTTAAGGTTCTGTGCTTGACACTTAATGTAATTTTCTGCGCAGTTGATAGTTTTTGATTCTTTTTTGTTCAAATCATCGGCCAGGAGGGTATCAAAGTTTTTATAATGATTTATCTTTACGGATTTTATAGCCATCAAGGAACTCCAAGTATTTTAATACTGTTTATATTATATTACATTGATGTTGTGTAGTGAATATCTTAAATTAATTATTAATTGAAACTATTAGTAATACTATTCGTCCAGGAACTTTAGCTGTTCGTTTAACAGCTAATATAATTGCAGGATGTTTATTATTAACTTTATTAAGAAAAACTTGCTCTAATTTATCATTTTTTATATTATTTATTTTAATTTTTATACTAATTTTAATTTTAATCTTAGCATCTGCTGTTACTAATTAACTTCTTTTGAAATCCCGATGACAAAATTTAATGCAAAATCAAGCTTTTAAGACTACTGTTTGTTCATTCTGAAATGATCGTACCAAAAGATAATATTTAAAAAAAAAAACTAGTGACATATTAACTTAGTTAATTAAAGTTTTTGATTTTTGAGCAGGTTTTGTATATTTTCTGGGCTTTTGTTAAGTTGTGTGTATATTGTGTGTAAGTGTATGAGTGTGATATATTAAATTATTGCTCTCATTGAATAATATTAACAATATTGTAAACACAATAAAATATGTTCTCAATTAGCGAGTAACTTTTTATGGGTGTAAATGTTGTTTTTTTTTACAAAATTGACTTAAAAAAGTATTTCTCAACGTTAAATTGTTGATTTTACTTTAAAATAAATAAATATATTACTACATGACTATTACAATGACTGTTTTTCATTAACATGCATTACCTATCTGTATATGAATAAAAATATACCCGATATCAGTATAAAATAAAAAAATTAACATGTCTAAATAAGTTTCGGTTTCGGTTTCGGCCGAACCTGACACCCAGACCGATGGTTCGTTTTCGGTTTCGGTTGAAAATCCTGTTTCGGTCGGACACTAAAAAAAACTGAAGATAGTCCGGGTAACTATATGACACTAGAATATCAAACACCTTAGTCTCCCCGGGTTGTTTAAAAAGATCGGGACATTGGAAATTTAAAATAAGTTAAAATTAAAAATCCGCTAAATGATTTTATTTAATATCTTGCCGATAGACTACCCTGTACATATTTTGATTTTGGTGTTATTATTTTTCAATTGTGCGGAATTTTATCGTGATTTGTTCGTTTCATATTATTGTCACTTTGATCGAAATCAAGAAATCATGACGTTCATAGAGTTATTTTACACAAAATGCGATCCATTAGCACCAGTGGCGTAACAATATGGTGGTCGGTCGGTCAAAATGCCATGGCCACCCAGCCTTAAGTAGCCCCCGGCCCGAGAGGGCAGTAAGCACGGGAAGATCTTAACATTTATTATAACAACATTTAGTGAATTGTATTAGTTTTATATTTGATTAAAGTAGGTAATGTGTTATCTTTAATTAAAGTGAGATACAGTTAAACAAAGAAAAGGATCAAAATTTCAATGCATTTGTTGGAAAAGATATCACCCAGTCACATTTAGACTGTATTCGGAAGGTAATAAAATCCTTTCCACCAGTCAGTGACATAAAGACAGCCGTTTTTGTACCTACTTTACGTAGAGATTTACTATAAAATAACATAAAAGCTTTTACGTTGGTTGAGCTTTTTTATATTGATTGTGTGAGAGCCCCTTCGAATGAATTTGCCAAGGGGCTTTTACGGTATAGTTACGAACTTTTCAAACGTATTTTGTATTATTGTTTGACTTTTAGGGTTCCGTACCCGAAGGGTAACCAACGGGACCCTATTACTAAGCCTCCGCTGTCCGCTGTCCGTCCGTCCGTCTATCTGTCAGCGGGCTGTACATCATAAATCGTAATAGGTAGACAGTTTAAATTTTCACAGAATGTGTATTTCTGTTGCTGCTATAACAAGAAATAATAAAAATAAATTGAATTAAAGAGGGCTCCTCCACTTGAAACGTGTTTAACGATGGTACGGAACCCTTCTTGCGCGAGTCCAACTCGCACTTGGCCGGTTATTTGATATTTTAAAAACTAAAACAAAACATTTTTTGTGTTCGATACTTACAGCGCTCTTTGTATACTTTTCAAGACTTCGAAGTGCTTGCTCGAAATAATCTTCACCGTATGCGCCTTTTTGTTCATCGCTGAGTCTCTTCCACATGTCACGAGCTTGCTCCAGAAGTTTCTCTTCTGACAACCACGCACTGCCAGTTGTATATTCTCCTGCAGCAACTACTACCTGTAATAAAATATAATAAACAATTTAATATTAGTTACAATATAATACGCTAGCAAACCAAGTTCGAGCTCCTTGATACGAATGAAACCTCAATACAACCTCAAAACGGTATAAAATTATTTTTAACCGTTATTTAATAATTTGAACTATGCCGACTATCTACGTTTTACTTCCTTAAAAAAGCGCCATCTGTTATAAAATGCAAAAAATAGTGTATTAAATATAATATAAAAATATATAACTATATATATTTTTATATTATATTATATATAACTGAAGAATTATATTATATATACTTCAGTTATATAAAAATATATAACTGAAGGAAAAATTTTTTCTTCAGTTTACTACTAAACTAAATAATCTATAATACCTACTTAAATGTTTAAATAATTATATTTATAAAATTAATCGAAAATTCTAACGTTCATTTTTAGTTGTTTCATTATTTCATTTCGATAGTGTTATAGTTTAAATAGATAAAAGTGACATTTATCAGAAATATGAAAATTGAGATAGTTTTAGTTTAATCTGTCATCTTTGTAAAATGATTAAAACTAGATTACACTGTGATTATTGCAAAACACTCATTATCTAATATATATATAATAATAAATTTTAATTAAAAGGAATTTTTTTATATATATGTCGTGGCAATATCGTAGAGTAATTATATCATAAAGTAGTCAATAATTTTGTGAGATGATGGCATTTCATAAAATTATTGACTAAATTTCATAAAATTTCATAATCGGTTTTCGTTCTCGGTGATTTTAATGCTCATCCAAAAGAATAGTTTTTCACGGAACTAATGAACTTTTGTGCAGAGCGAAGTTGGTTCTGTGCAGATGTGATCAAGTTGGAATTAACTTCAAAATTCAAATACTCACACTTATGTAAGTGAAGCGCATAAATGTACGCGATGGCTTTATCATTGTCTTACGACTGAGGCAGCTTGGCAATGTGTAAATGAAATAAAGGTTAATTATGACGTATACTGGTCGGATTATCTTCCATTAGAAGTATATTGTGAGCTATCTAGGTTGCCTCCTAAAATGAAATGTAATAAAAATACTTGTAATATGATAAGATGGGGGGAGAGGAACAGTGAACAAATAAATCATCATCACGATATTTGTAACAATAAATTAAAAACTATCGATCTCCCAGATGTATTTAGATGTTGCGCTGATCAAATATTTAGTAATGTGGAGCATAAAAAACATATTGATATTTTATATAGCTCAACAAGTAAGTTGAATGCAGTGGAGATGCGATCTCTTCGTAAAATGTGCGGCGTTACTATGGCCGACCGAAAGCGAAACGAAGAGATTCGCAATATGGCAGGTTTGAAAGATGACCTTATCACAAAAATTGATAAGGGGCGTGCTTCGGTGGTTTGGGCACGTTGAGCGAATGAGTGAAGACCGAATGGTGAAGAAAATATATAGCGCGAAAGTTAATATTAAAAGGTGTCGAGGTAGACCGAGACTAACTTTCGAAGACCATGTGAGGAAATTGCTCGAAGAGGGTAGGGTCAAGAGTACTCGGATACCTAGACGTGCATGCATGAAGAAGATAATGAATCTGAAAGAAGCGAAAGAGGTTTGTAAGGATCGTGACACTTGGCGATCTGTTCTCTCTGGCTACCCCGTTAGGGATTGTGCGTGAAGATAAATAAATAAATAAATAAATATATAGCTCTATTGTTAATATATTAAGAGAAGCTTCGGTAGATAGTTATAAAGTACGTTGTTGTAATAAAAGAAAAAATATAGATGGGTGGAACAGGCGTGCAAGGGAAATACATAATGAAGCTCGAATTTGTTAACAGATGTGAATTCTACATGGCAAACCTACATCTGGCGTTTTGTATGAAAATATGTTTGAGACCAGAAAGCGTTTTAAGTCTCGACTTAAGTGGTGTCAAGATAATGAGACACAAATCAAACAGGACATTTTGGTCAAACATCATAAGTCGAAGTACTTCAGCGCATTCTGGAAACACGCAAAAAAGCAACTTGGCACCGCTGAAGGGACTGCAGCACCGCCCAAATTACGACGGAATCAAAGACTTTCTCATAGTCGCCATACGCCAGACAGTGGCAAATTGTACTCCTCTGACTTCTGTACAATTTGCCGAAGGGTATGTATGTGGTCTATGGTGCTAAAGCCCTTTCGAAAACCGGCTTGTTCGGGAGGCTGGAAGTCGTCAAGTCTGCGCGCGAGACGATTCGTAATGACAATCGAAAACAGCACGTAGACGCGGCTCAGAAGGGAAATCGGTCTGTAGTTTTTCAAGCGAGCGTTGTCACCTTTCTTCGAGAACAATACCACCGCACTTCTGCTCCACGCCTCCGGTGTAATGCCACCATGGAGGACGGAATTAAAGAGCTTCTGAAGGACTTCAAGTACCGGTTTTCCACCCGCTTTCAGAAGCTGCCATTCCATCCTCACCTGGGGCCTTGCCGTTTTTAAGGTGCTGGAGAGCCATTCTAATCTCGCTCAGACTGACGTCCGGGATATCATCGGAATAATGTCGGATAAGACTCGCTCTTGGATCATTACTCACACTTGCGTGTGGCTCCAACGATGACGTGTACAGCTGCCCATAGAACCTCTCAATCTCACTCAAAATCTCAGGTGCCCCGGAAACGATGCTGCCACATTCTGTATTTAGCTTTGAAAGTTGGCTCTTTCTGGTAGACAGATCTCTGGCAAAGACTTTGGAGCCTTGATTCCGCTCGATCGCTTCTTCAATACGAGCTGTATTGAAGTAGCGTAAGTTCCGCCGCATGCATTTGGAGATCTGTCTGTTCAGTTGCCTGTATGCTGTCAAATCTTTTAAAGAATGTAGCTTCATCTCCCGTCTAACAGCCATGAGATTAAGAATGTGATCGGAGAGTTTTTGTGTTCTTCTGGGGCGGGTCTTGCAGAACTTAGCTCCGACCGCATGGACAGTTTCCACGAGCTTGTCATTCATATCGTCCACTTCATTGCAGTCTTCTAGGCACTGAAAACGGTTTTGTAACTCGAGCTGAAAGGTTTCGGGACTTTGAATTAGAGCACGAGGGGGACGGAGCGTTGACTTCATTAGACGAGATCTCTCCAACTTAACGTTTAGGTTCAGTGTGCCTCTTACCATTTGGTGATCGCTGCTGGTTTTCATCCTCGCGATCACTGAGACATCACTGAACAGTTGTCGTATGGTCGTCATAATGAAGTCAATCTCATTTTTTGTCGAACCGACGGGGTTTGACCAGGTCCACTTCCTGTGGGGCCGCTTCTGGAAGAAAGAGTTCATCATAAAGAGTCCCTCTTTCTCCATGAAGTTGGCCAGCTGCTGGCCCCTTGGGTTCCGTTGCCCTATTCCAAATTTCCCTACTTTCAGCTCACCATTCTGTCTTGTGCCTAGTTTTGCATTGAAGTCTCCCATTAACACCGTATATTGGGTTTTGGAGGAAAGCATGACTCTAGAGATATCCTCATACATTTCCTCCACCTCCTCATCGGGGTGTGCCGAGGTTGGTGCATAAACCTGTATGACCTTCAGCGAATACCGTTTGGTGATTCTGAGTATAAGGTACGCAACCCTCGTCGACACACTCTCAATCTTTACAACGTTGTTAACGAGAGACTTGTGAATGATAAATCCGACTTCTCCTTGGGACAGATGGTCGCCCTCCCGGTAATAGAGCAAGTTGCAGGATTCGAGGATTACCATGTCCTCCCCCTCTCTTCGGATTTCGGATAATCCTATAATATGCCAGTGTAACTTGTCTATCTCTTCTTCCAGCTCCACAATCTTCTCTTCAGTCATCAGGGTGCGTGCGTTGTATGTTGCCAGGTTGAGTCGTCGTAGGTGGCAATCGAACCTCCACCGGTGATTCTTAGCACCCCCTGCCCCGCCGTTACCATGGTCGCCACCGTAGCCAGAAATAGCGGGTCCGCCGGGGACTGGGGGCCGTCTCTTAGTAACTTTATCCATCAGAAATCAGAAATCAGAAATGTTTATTTGCTTTAAACATGGTAGTACAAAGATCTTAATATAGTGATATGTCCTCATGTTTGACTTATAACTGTCATGCAAATTTAAAAGTAATTACATTTTAATCTACTTAGAGTTAGAAGTAAGTTAGACTAAATATAAAACCAATGGTAAACGTGAATCATAGACTGAACATTACATTACATTTATAAATTGTATTATATTTTATGTCAAATTATTCAATTGATAAATAAAATAAACACAGAAAAGCTACAAATACAATTAAAATTCAAAAATCTCTTGGTCATCTAAGTATTCCTGGACTGAATAAAAGCACCTAGTCAAATGCCAGGAATGTAACTTTCTTCTAAACAATGGTAATGGCAGAGCCTTGAAACTTGGATGAAACTTATTATAAATTTTGATAGCCGTACAATAACAGCTTCGTCTGTATAGTTGAAGTCTTATTCTAGGTTGCATGATCCTTTCTCGATGTCTGGTAAGTTTATTTTTGTATTCCCCTCTAGTGACAAAATAATGAGAGTGTTGTCGTACAAAAATATACATTTGTTTTATATACAGACACGGTAGCGGTAGGATTCCAAGATTTTTGAAAAGGGGTTTACATCTTTCAAGAAAATGTACTCTGCAAATAGCCCTAATACATTTCTTTTGGGCTATGAAAGCCCGGTTTACATCCACTGAACCTCCCCACAATATAGTGCCGTAGCTTAATAGTGATGACACATAGCCATGGTAGGCCGATCCATTTGGGGTGTATTTGCCATAGTTGCCACGCTTGGCGAGCGGGTTGGCCCGCAGTTTTTTTATTGTATTTTTGCTGTTATCAGGAAGATGCTGCTGCCCATCTCCTGCCTGTTTCCCTTTGTCGCCTTTTACGACACCCACGGGAAGATATGGGGTAGTGGATATTCTTAACCGCCACTACACGGCGATCGTGTATGTTACTAGATGGTTATTGCTTTGTTATGATAGAGCCAAACGGAATGGACAAAACGTAGATGGAGGGTAAATCGACAAGTGTTGACATTTATACAATATAACCAGCAATAATTGGCTATATTATGAAATGGTTGTGATTCATCAAATGTTAGGGCACTACTCGTATAATTATGATATACTAGCTGTTCCCCGCTACTTTGACCGCGTGGAGTTATTTTTCGCGGAACCCTAAAATAAAAGCAGTCCAAGTTACTCCTTATAACATCAGCTATCTGCCAGTGTGTATAAATATTGACAAATATTGACATTAATATTTATACGATACTAACGTCACTCAATTGTTTTGCCTTCCCGGAACCCCTCTACTAACACTTAAACTTTATGGTATGATATTAAAGTTCAAATTGACTTTTAAGTATTAATACGAATCTTTTGTATGGGAATATAGAAAAGTGTTGTTTTTAGACTTTTTCAGGCATTTTTTTAAATTTTTCTCTCCTTAAGAACCATCTTCGTACTTAGAGGAATATTATAAAAAAAGAATTAGCGAAATCGGTTCAGTTGCTCGCGAGATTTGCGCTTAGCAACACATTCAGCGATTCATTTTGATATTATAGATAATATACAACTATACAGTTTTGGCATTCATAGTTTTAATCTAATAATTGCGTCATCTACTTACTGACATGAATGAATTCCATACATGAACATGGATTCCATAATATTACCACGCAATAATAATAAAAATATTACTGTCAAATTGACATTTCGCTAGAATCGTGTGCACATAGTATTTAGAATTGTGTTCTCTTGCTCTTAGTACTGTTTGCAACCGAAGTTAAGAGCTTAAGCTACATTTTCTCCATACGAAAATGTAAGGGCAGACTCAAGAAGGATATGAGTAATGCAAAATATCCAAACAAGGTATTCGAAGCTTCCTGAGGAAGGGCCAAAAGGAAGACTAATTTCATAACCATACGGGTACAGGAAGAGATAAAAAGAGTGAGTTCTATCCAGTTTTGATCTAGCGAGCATACTTGCCACTCCAGTACTCTGATCTTGACTTCCCTAAGATACCCTTAAACTATCGCTTAGTGTTGGATTGAGCAATATCTTGCATTTAAAACAACACACTCAAACAAACAAAGGACACACATTAAAACATAAATTTTCCCTAAATTGCGTACACATTATTATACGCAACAGGTTAACGATCAATTTAGAAAAAAATAACTTTGTAAAAGAAAAAAAAACAGCAGCGTTTTCTTCTAAATATGCATTAATGAAATGCACATAAAGCCGAAATAAACAAATAACATACTATGCATATAAATAAACGTATTATATACAACTGTATATTTTTAGGTGGCCAGTGTTAACATATTAAAAAATTCAATAATTTTATTTGCTTTCATAGTAATACGTATAGTATAGTAATATATACTTACAACATCGACCCCACGTGGTTTAAGCTCCCGTCGGAGACAAGCAGCGAGCGCTTCAAGAGCAGCTAGGGACGCTGCGTGGACGCCACGAACGGGAGCGGCGACATGAGTTAAAATGGACGATGCCATCACAATGCGACCTCGTGCACGCCTTACCAGCGGCAGCATTACTTGTACTAAGCGAGCAGGACCTGTCCATAACAATATGTTTGTTTATTAATATGTTTGTAGAACAAACACATCTACCCCTTCTCTTTCGTCTTCTCTTTAGCAACCCGTAGAAGCCCACGGCTGGTCATGGTCCACTCTCATTTTAGGAAAGATTTGCCTTAATATCCACAATCGCTTAGCAGTAACCAGAAGTCTCGTACCTTTGAATAATTATTTTATTTTATTTGGCGTACAAACGAGGTGACTTTTTGTTGAAACTTTCTATAGTCGCCCCTTACGACAACAATGGAATGAAATGAGGTCATGAATTCTCTCACGCGGTCATCACACGGCACCTTTTAATAAAAAATAATACATAAAATAACAGTCTTTTTTGTAGAAGAAGGTGATGATAACTAGGACAGGCTATGAAGCATTACTTTTTAGCTCTCTAGGGTGATCCTTCTGCTTGCTGCTGAGTGCTTACTGGTGGTATCCATTGGCATTAGCGGCTACTTACTGTAAGGTGAACTGTTTGTTTGCCTATTTTATAAAACAAAATACAAGTAAGATTGGCGTAAACAAGCGCGCAGCTAGACCATAGAAAATCCAAAATGCAAATGGAATACTTCATTACAAGTAAAAAGAGTTCCCCGTGATGGTGATTCGCTAAACTGAATTGATGGGAAAGGACGTTTAATGTGCATCTTATCCTAACTTGCTACTAGTAAATTACCCTCACCCCAGTAGGTTACCACTCATTACCGCATTCTGTTAAATTTGTCAGTTATAACAATGTTATAAAAAATACCAGTTCTATTAGTCCGGTGTGACATTTAAGTGCAATATAAGATAGACTTGACTGATATACAAGATACCGAAAATTAATGTATAAATTCAAAATTAACAAAAGAACATAAAAAGTTGCATCCGTACTTTGAGCTAGCTTTATTGATGTCATATCCGCACGAGTGTACGTCGCCTAACCGGCTTAGATTGTCTGCTACAACATTGAACGTGTTAAATGCCTACTCAAACTGATGACGGAGAATAGAGTCAAAGAGGAAATTTTCCCCTGAAATTGAAAGGATTAAACAAGCTTAGTGCGCATAGCACTTGCAAATGAGGCCTATGCTGAATAAAATAAAAACGTTGCCGACCTAATTTTCGTTGTACGGTCCATTAATTAACTCTTTACAGCTTTATAGCTTTGTTCAATTTGTTTTTCAACCTTTTATGAAATACACATAAACACAAATTATCGGAATGATTCCTTGTAATTACGCGAATACTACACATTAAATAAAACTATATTTATGGATTTTATCGTGTTTCATTTATACCTATTTTTAATACCCGACGTTTGTGTAGGAGAAGTACACTTAAAGTATGGATAATAAATTTAAAAATTATTCTTTTATTTATTTAAACGAATTATAATATTCAAATGCTGTTGTTGTTGTCAATATTTTACTGCAATGTAAACAGCGAGTAAGTATTAACCTTGAAATTTCTTAGTACGCTTGCAAACCAAGGAAGTTCCAAGTTAGTTCTTATACGCTCGCGATTCTAATTGCAGTTTTAAATACCGATTTAGCATGTGCTCAAAACATCAAGAGCATGTGAAGTCCGCTAGCATGCATCCCTATGTTACCCTTAACGCGGTAGACTCTTAAATAAACACTCACGCCTGTCACCCAGAGGGGTAGGCAGAGACTATGGACTTCCATTTTGCACGATCCTGACACACCTCTCTCGCTTCCTCCAGATCCATATACCTACGCATACACGCTCGTCGGTTAAAGGTATATAAGGTGTGCCCTAGTGTTCTGTACTAGAGTAGTGTCTGAGTGTGTGTGTGAGTGTTTATGAGTGAGTATGAGTTGCTGGATATTGGACTCCTATATTGGATATTGTTATAGAGAGAATTTAGCTAAATCGTCACGCTTGCCAGGGGGAATGACAATCGCAGTGCCAAAGTATCAGATGTCTCACACTTCTGACGCTCGATAACGGTCTGGGTATTTTACATTTTTCGAAATATCATACTAAGCCAGCGCTTAACTACAATCCTATCTGATGGTAAGTGGTGATGTAGCCTAAGATGGTGGCTGACTGACTTAACAAAAGCCTATTCACTCTTGCCTTGAAGACACTCACATAGTAATGGGATGGAAACACAGATGCTGGCAACTTATTGTACTTCTTTACTGTTACGTCTGTGTGAACGACATTATACCGCCTCTATAGTCTCCTCTTACGATACCTACGGAATGAGGTGATAAATTTTCTTTACGCCACCACCAGACGGTATTGTGTATTAGTCTGGAATGAAGGTTTTTTTTTAATATAATTGATGTAAAGATGCTACTTGTAGCCCATCGACACCTGCAACTAACTTCAAATAAAGAAGGCTGCAGAATGTGTTATCACCTCAGGACTAAGATAGAATACCTCACAACTTATATCTATACTGGCTCTGTAATACCCTCCAGACCAAAACATAGCAGTACACGCACTGCTGTTTGGTATAGATAGCCTTGGTTTGATCGCTCCTGTAAGTGCAGGAGTGTTATCAGGCCTGGGCTGAAGCTTCGGTGGCTCGGGATGTAAATACCAGCATGCTTAAAAAGAAGTATAACATCGCCTCCAGGTGCTTCAAAAGAGTTATTGCCAAGGCAAAGTCAGAGCATATACAGAATTGGCGAAAAAATAGTTCGCCTTCCTTCGGGAACCCGTGCATTCTGGACTCTCGCCAAGGCTGTCCAAGGAAATTTCTGTAAGCCATCACTACCATCTCTGCACAGGGAAGATGACTCACTGGCCCACACCGCAAAAGAGAAAGCATTTTAGGCTTCCTTTTTGCGTCCAACTCGACTCCTGATGACGGAGGGAATACACCGCCGACCATCCCGCAGTGTGAGTGCTCTATGCCTGATGTGCGATTCACACAGTGCTCAGTACGTAAAGTACTCCTCTCCCTGGACATCCACAAGTAGAGTGGGCCTGACGGAATCCCGCCAATTGTGCTGAGGACGTGCGCTCAAGAGTTGGCACCGGTTCTAACGCGTCTTTTTCGGTACTCCTACTCCCTAGGCGTTGTCCCGAATTTATAGAAGACAGCTTTCGTGCACCCGATCCCTAAAAAAGGTAACCGCTCTGATCCGTCCAATTACAGGCCTATTGCCATCACATCCTTGTTTTCGAAAATAATGGAGTCCATTATGAACTGCCAGCTCATGCGGTACCTTGAGGAGCACCAGCTGATTAGTGACTGCCAGTACGGTTTCCGTCGAGGTCGCTCAGCTGGTGATCTTCTTGTTTACCTAACACATAGATGGGCGCAGGCAATCGAGTCCAAGGCTGTTAGTTTGGACATAGCGAAGGCCTTCGATCGGGTCTGGCACAAAGCGCTTCTCTCGAAGCTTCTTTTATATAGGCTTCCCGAGAAATTGTGCAATTGGATCACCAGTTTTCTGGCTGATCAGAGCATCAAGGTTATAGTAGACGGTGCATGCTCCGATTACAAGCCTATTACCGCTGGTGTTCCATAAGGCTGCGTGCCATCACCAACATTGTTTCTTCTGCATATTAATGATATATTGCAAACTGGTAACATACATTGCTATGCAGATGACAGCACTGGTGATGCTCTATACTTCGGCCGTGCCAGTATTTCTCGGAAAAACGTCGCTGAGTACCAGAACAAACTTGTGTCTGAAGTCGAGACTTTATTGAACAAAGTCTCGGATTGGGAGCGACTAAATCTAGTCCAGTTCAATCCCCAGAAGACACAAGTTTCCGCGTTTACCGCTAAAAGGTAGCCCTTTGTTGTATCTCCTCAGTTTCAAGGCACTCCCCTTGTTGCCTCAGCAGACATATCGAGTGACGTGCAGTTTCGTGGTCACTTGGAAGAGAAGGCCAAATTGGCCTCTAAAAAGCTCGGCATGCTCAGCAGAGCGGGACAGTATTTCATGCCGGCACACCGCCTGCAACTTTACAAGGCGCAGGTTCGGCCTCACATGGAATACTGTTCCCATCTCTGGGCAGGTGCCCCAGTGCCAGCTCCTTCGACTTGACCGCATCCAGCGTAGAGCGATTTGAATCGTCGACGACCGAGTTCTTTCAGATCGGCTTGATGAACGCCTACGGCGAACCACATGGCTCTCGTATTTATTTAAATAAATTCTCAACTAATACTGAAATTTAGCTTTTGCACGATTGTTGACTCCGTCTACCTAGTAATTAGACATCCAACGATGCTACGAATTATTCCATCAAATAGAGATAAAAATGTCACAGAGCGCTTATTTTTCAATAATATCTACAATCTTGATAACAAATGAAGTTAGAGAAATTATTGCTTTGCCGATAGATAACCATTATATTTATTAAATCATCCCGATAATGGCTACCGCTCTTGGTATTTAAAGTCTTGATTGACAAATAGGTATTCAGTAGCATTTTAATTTTATCGGTAACTTATTATTAATTTCACCACTTTTCTACAGATTTATTATATTTATAGATATCGAATGACTATAAATCTTTCTTAAGTATTAATAATATAAGGTAAGATTGATGCTTATAATATTTATGCAAAAACTTTTCACATTTCCAAGTGCCCAATATTCCACTAATCGAGTTTCGTCTTTCGCTGATCCAGTGGATAGACCGAGAAAGCCGATATAAGATTAAAGATTACTAAATTCAAACCTGATTTATTTTATATTTTGTCTAGTAATAAGGTTTGACGATGAATAAAAAGTTTGATTAAATTTGGATTTATAAAAATTATTACAGAAAACCGTCAGTAGCAATTTTTTGTCTAGAAATCATTTTTTTTGTTCGATTATTTGATACAATTTCAAATTATACAGTATGAAAGCCCGCAATATTACGCAATAAGTAACTACATAAAAAAATGAAATTTAAAAAAAAATAATATTCTAAAACTTTTTTTAATGGAATTTATTAATTTTTGGGACCACTTCTCTCCCTGGACATTCACAAGTCGAGTGGGCCTGACGGAATCCCGCCA